AATCCTAAAACTGAATTTGATATTTGTACTTAGCCCACTTGGAATCCTAACCTCAACTTATTTTTATGTTCATCCTACCAATATTTTTTTGTCATTTTCAATTTAAAAATCTTTTTTTTTCTTTTTGGGTTTTTGAGACTAGTTTCTCTGTGGAACAGTCCTGGCTGTCCTGGAACTTGCTTCGTCGATCAGGCTGGCCTCAAATTCACAGAGATCTGCCTCCCAAGTTCTGGGGTTAAAGGCATGTGCTACCACTACCCCACTTATTTTAAAAAATTTTAATAAGTGTTCTATGAAGACATATGTCAGTATAATTCAAACATTTAAAATGATGTTTTGCATATATTATCCAGGCATTTTCTAACAAATTCATGAACACAGAGTTTATCTAAGGCTCTAGTACTGCTTTTCAACAATCCCAGCCATGTAATTACTCATCTTCATCAAATCTGGGCATCTGCATTGCTAATTATTGACTCATCCGGTGCCTGCACTGGGCACAGCATCTGCAGCTGTCCCGTTCTGCTTTTGAGTCAGCATTGTTTTTACACATCGCCAGAACAATGAACAATCCATCTTCTGAGAACCTCCTTCTACACCTGTTCGTACATGGACTATTAAAACTGAGATAGAAGGACTCATTGAATCACTACCTACTCCTCCTATTCTCTCTCCCTCCCTTCCTTTATCCTCCACTTTCAAATCCTTGTAAAAAGTCAAGATAATTGTATTAAAATCAAAGCCAGGTGTGGTGGCATATACCTAATCCCAGAATTTAGGAGGTAAAAAGAAGATTAGGAATCCAAAGTTATCCTGTACATAGTTTGAGGCTATCCTGAGCTACAAGAATCTCAAAAAAAAAAAAAAAAAAACCAGCCAGGCAGTGGTGGTCCATGCCTTTAATTCCAGCATTCAGGAGGCAGAGGCAGGTGGATCTCTGCAAGCTCAAGGCCATCCTGGTCTATAGAGTAAGTTCTAGGACAGCCAGGGCTGCACAGAGAAATCCTGTGTTGGGGGGGGGGGAGGAAAAGAAAAGAAAAAACAAAAAAAATCCAGCCAGACTAAGTGGCACAAGCCTCTAATCCCAATGCTTGGGAGATGGAAGGAAATCATAAATTTGAGGCCAGTCTGGACTGCATGGGTCTCTGGTTCAATAACATCTTTACAGCAAGCTGTAAAGGCTTGCTGCCAAGCCTGATGCTCTGAGTTCACTCCCTGGAACCCACATGGTAGAAGGACATAGAAGCCACTCCCACAAGCTGTCCTCTGACCCCACATGTGCATTATGTTTGGATTTTGTGATTGAGAGGTTATCTTAGTCAAGGCCTAAAGAGAAGAGGAGAAAAGAAAGGAAGAACCAAATGAGGTCCCCTCTTTCAAAATGAATCTATCCGGTGTCAAGATGACATAAAACTAGCCAGCACAATGTATGTTCAAACTCGTCAAGTCCCTCTTCTGAATCCATTGAGACGATTGTGGGATGTCTGCCTCTCTCTTCAGCCAGTTTGTACTTATTGTTGTGGGGACCTGAAGCCTTGGCTGTTTGTGCAGCTGCAGCTTCTGCTTCTGCAGTGGCCTCACAGTCTGCTGCCTCTCCGTGGTCCGTCCGTCAGCAGAGGAGGATGGTTCTGTCAGCCTGGGCTGCAAGTCCAGGGGCTTGACTTCACGATGGTCAGGACGTCAGTGATGGGTTATGGTCAGGACATCTTAGAGAGCTTGGATGTGGAGCTCTCTGTTGCTTTAGTGACCTGCAACTACAACAGCTCCACCTTCAGATCACCCAGCTCTCCTGCTTGTTGCCTCAAAGTTCCCAGCTCAGCTATGGCTGGGCTGCTCCTTGCTGCCTTGCCTGGTCCAAAGAGTCTGTTTTTAAATCTTTTAGTTGGGTGTTTTATGTTGGTTTGTGGGTTTTTAATTTGCATATATTGAATCAACTTCTGAATCCCTCATATGAAACCAACTTGCTTGTGATGTATGTTTGTTTTTTTTTTTGTTTGTTTTTGTTTTGTTTTGTTTTGAGACAGGCTTTTATTATGCAGTCCTGGTGGCTGGTACTCAGGAGATCTGCCTGTCTCTCTCTGCCCAGTGGTAGGATTATAGCATGTGCCACCAAATCTGGTGTGTGATCGTAACATGATCTTGACTTTATATTGCATCTATGTTCGCAGAGAAGCTGGTTTGTAGTTGTGCCAAAATCCACTTTGGGTATCAGAATTACGCGAACTTCACAGGATGAGTTTGGTAGTGTTCTTGTCCTTTCTTAGTTTATTTTTTTTATTATTTGTGTATATGACACACAAGTATGGATGAGTATGAGTGCCACAGGAAGCCAGAAGAGGATGTCGGGTCCCTGGAGTGTTTGTGAGCTATCCAACATGGGTGTCGGGACCTGAGAAAAGCAGCATTTTTAACTGCTGAACCATCTTTCTGGCCCCTATGGAGAACCTTTTAATTACTATTTTCATCCAACCATCTTCCTGGTTATGGACTACAGTAGTTTGAATGTAATTGGCCCCCATAAGCTTATAAGGAGTGGCAATATTAGGAAGTGTGGCCTTGTTGGAGTAGGTGTGGCTTTGTTGGAGAAAAGTGTAACTGTGGGAGCAGGCTTTGAGGTCTCATATGCTTAAGCTACGCCTAGTTCAGTTCACTTCCTGTTGCCTACAGATCAAGATGTAGGACACTCAGCTCCTTCTCCAGCACCATGTCTGCCTGCATGCTACAATGTCCTGTCATGACGATAATGGACTAAACCTCTGAAACTGTAAGCCAGCCCCAATTAAATGTTTTCTTTTATAAGAGTTGCTATAGTCATGGAGTTTCTTCACAGCAATAGAAACCCTAACTTAGAAAAGTTAGTAACAGAAGTGGGGTACTGTTGTGATGCTTGACCATAATTTTGTTTGAAGGAATGTGAACCTTGGGACTATGGATTAGAAAAGCAGTTGAACACTTTAAGTTCTGCTTCATGAGCCATCCTAGTAGGAGCATGGAAGACAGTGGTGTTGTGTATGATTTGATGAACTGTGGGGGCCTGGCTCAAGAGGTTTCAGGGGAGAAGGATTTTAGTATATAGCCTAGAAATTGTTCTTATGATATTTTGGTGAAGAATGTAGCCACATTTTACCCTGTCTGAAAAGTCTGCCTGTGGCTAAATTGAAGAGTTTTTGATTAATTACACTGGCAGACAAAGGAAACTCAAAACAATATAGTATAAACTCTGTTGTGTGGTTATTAGAGTTAACTCAAATGAAGATTTATAATGAAAAGGAGCAAGTAGAGCAAGGAAAAATACAAAATGTACAATTTGGGAAGGAAAGGAGCACCAGGAAGTGGAATGGAGCTAAGTCCTATGTTCAAAGAGATAAACAGATTAAGAAATGGAATAAGGGAGCTGGGTGGTGGTGATGCACAACTTTAATCCCAGCACTGGAGGCAGAGCCAGGCAGATCTCTGTGAGTTCGAGGCCAGCCTGGTCTACAGAGCAAGATCCAGGACAGAACCAAAACTACACAGAGAAAGCCTGTCTCGGAAAAAAAAAAAATGGAATAAGGCGCTGGAGAGAT